GTAACCATACCAAATCTTAGCGGTTGTACTATTTTTCAATGGTTCCCGGGGCAGGCCAGCAGCCAGTGCACTCCCAGCCCAACTCCCAGGAAACCAGCTGCCACCCTAGGCTTCTGCCTCTGTATCAGAGGTAGCAATTCAGGGGGGCAACAGCCTCTGTCCATGGCAAGACTAGGCTTGCAGCAGACAGAGACTGCTCCGTGGCAGCAGCCCATCTGTAGGGGGCCCACACTCCCCATGGACAAAGGCTGTGCCAGCATCTCATGGAGCAGCCTCTGTCTGCAACAGCAGCCCCTGTGGACAGAGGCTGCACCAGCATCCCACCTGCTCCCCCTGGGCTGCTGCCTCTGATATAGATAAGCGGGTGCTTGTGGGGAGCTGACTCCCAAGCACACCTTCCCCCGGCTCCCCCTCTCCTGCTGCCTATGTGGGAGGCAGCAAGGCGGGGGAGGGGGAGAAAGGGGGGGAGCAGGCAGCTCTGTGGAACCATCTCCTCACACGTATCGGCTCCTGCCTGTCCTTTTGCTATGGGCATCAGCTCTTGCCTTTCCCCCCTTGCTGCCTCTGATACAGAGACAGCAAGGGGAACTGAGTACCTGTAGTCATTTGGTTTAACCAGTAAACCCAGACTTATCAGTTAATCGTTTACATGACTATATGCTAACAACCCTAAAGGAAACAATTTAAATATATATGTATTAATAGAACTATGAAAAACATTTAAAAGTTTGCAGTGATGAAATGACATCAGAGATGTCCTGTATTATTTGGCTCGTTGTTAGGCCACTATGGTTCATATATAGGCAATCTGCTGGGTGTGGTATATGTGAAAATCCAAAACTTTGGAAATAATCCTGGTAATTTACAGCTATTTTAGGGTAACCTTTTCCAGAACTGATGATCTTTTAAGTTTTGTGACTGCCACTGAAACAAGAAATATTCTGAAAGTGCTTTGAGCATCATACCTTTCCAATTTCTCACTAATCTCATAGCATCTTTTCCTCAGCAAGCTCCTAGGGACAAGTATCCTACTGTTTCCCAAAGCAAAGGAAGGAAGGAAAAGAAAAATCTTTGCATCACTCTGAATGCAAACACAAAGCCAGTACTATAGGAATATACAGTAACTGGGAGGTAAGACTAGACCATCACATAGAGTCACATTTCAAACAAACCGCATTTTCTGCAATAGTGATTGCTTTTGTTATTTCATTTTTCTCCTAGTCAGATGCATTACTATTATGTAGAAACTAAAAATATGATAGCTTTGGGTTATGTATCCGAAATGGTAGTGGCATGTACTCCATTAAGCATATAGCTGAATACAATATTTATCTTAGTCATTCTGAAACCAACTCTTATTTCCAAAACAAACAGAACATATTACAAACAAATAGTAACTGAAACACACGTTTAGTCAATTAACAATGAAACCGGCAAAAACATGTATTAATCATTTAAGACCTAACATATCTGTACTGACAGGATTGTTATAAAAATGAAGTCACCAAATGTGTTAAAATAAAACCAAACTCATTTCACACAAAACTATTTTTAAACATGTATGATTATGGGGGGGGGGAGATGGGGTGCAGGTTCTCTTTTCTGGGGAGAAGCTGGAGGAGAGATGGAAAAAGGGAAGGTTACAAATAAGATTTACTTCTGCTTATCAGAAAAATTACCACCTTAGCTGAATAATGCTTTCACTAACTGAATAATGCTTTCATTTACTAACATAAAAGAGTTATTTGCTTACGCATTTCAAATGGTTAATTTCATACAAATTAAATAATCTGTCTATTCTACAAAGATATATCTTCCTTTTATTAGTAAAATTTATCTCAAAATGTACATGTATAAAAATATCGACACCTATGCTTAACCTCTGATAACTACACAGAACAATTAAAAAGTTGCAGATGAACTACTGCACCTTGACATTTAACCAAGAAAATCTGATGGACATGGAAAACTACCTAGAACAGCCCATGCCCACATGCACAAAATTTTCAGTCTACATATGGGAATTATTTTAGTCCCATGAACCATACATTTATGGAAGTCTATTTTCCCCTTTAATAAAAAAAAACTGCTTTAAAACCACAAGGACTAAATTAAATTTTATCCTGATGATAATTCCTGTTCCTCTAGATCACACTTGTTTGTAACAAATATAAATCATGATTTTTTAAAAAAACCTGCATTCAATAAAAAAAAAATGCAAAAAATATTAGCATGCCATTGCTGAATAAATAGCAGCTTTGTATAAGCACTCACCTATAACAGTCTCTTACTCATCGGTAGCTATGCTATTTATGCAGGATTCTTAAAATGGCGTCTGGCAGCACTGCACTGCCTCATTCCTGTACTGTAGCTAAAATGGTAGCAGTTTATTCAATAACTATATCTCTTGTTTAAATAGCAATGCTATTTTCGAAGCAATCATCTAAATATCAGAAATGGTAAAGGATGATAAAGGGACACCTAACATCCAAATGTTTAAGTAGAAATGCACAAGATAAGGAGTTTTGTGAAGTCACAGGTTACTAAGGAAATTGTTCAATTTTAGATTCAGTCTTCAGTGTGAATCTTTTAGATTTGATGTTTTTATTCTGAATCCCCTGCAAATGTATTAAGAAATAAGGTTAATAGCGCTTGTTCAATTGTATACGTAGGGCAACAATTAGACTAGGTACCTATATCAAAATGCAGTATGTGAATTTTACACATTTAGGATCTTCTAAAAAAACCTATTCAACAGAATGTCCATTTAAAATAGCTTAGCACAATGGGGAGGGGTGGGGGAGGGAGAGAGAACAAGTAAAAAAAGTTGGTATTGTTCAAATCTCTCTCAAAAATGGGAGCTATACAGCTGAGGCCCAATCAAAATAGATACGATATTTATTGGCGTAAAGTTCCAAAACATACAGGCACAGTTTGGGAATGTTTGTAACTGAAGTCAGTGCTATCTATTTTAATGCTACTAGCATAGTGTTTATCAGATGCTTTCAATCTCACAATGAGACACAAAGATATTATGACAATTGGCAATAGTTGTAAGACTGACAACTTCAGTCTGTGGCAAAGTACACGAAACTCAACTCATATACACAATACACTTCCGAATTGGGTATGAAATAGTGAACACATTTCTATTAACAATACTTTCTAAACCCGTTTTAAAGGTCAAGCTAACAGCCTAACAGGCTCATGCAGTGGTGCCTAAATTTTTCTTGTCACAGCCCGTTGCCAGTAAGGGAAACTGTTTGTGCCCCGCCTCCAGTACTGCACAGCCAAGGTGTCCTTAGCAGAGGGGAAGAACTGGGGAAGGGGGAGAAGCTGGCCTCAAGGCAAAGAGGGAATGAGGACAGAGGTGGCAGTGGACTGGAGCTAGGCTACTGGTAGAACAAGGCACAGCTATGCTAAAGGCAGGGCAGGGAGGAACTCCCTCCCTGTCCCCCAAGAGGAATGGCCCAGACTCTGCACTGCCCCAAACAGTCTTTCGTGTCCCTCTTGGGGACACAACTCAGTTTGGGGAGCACTGACCTAGTGGATAATGATATCCACAGTTATTTGAATGCCCATGTTTTGTGTGCAAATTCAGAAATCTCAAGGTGCCATGCAGGGCGCTAATGTAACACAAAGTGTTCCATGTGAGGAAAAAAACTAGGATGTAGTCTTTATCAAGACTTATCATGCCTCCTTGTTGATGATTCTGGATAGGTACCTGTCTTGAGGTACCTTGCTCTATCACTTCCCACCTGCTGGATGAACATGACTACTGAAGCCTGGTCTAGGCACAGAGTTAGATTGACATAAATTGCTTGTGGGGATCTACCTGTGGAAGTGTCTTCATTTAAATTTTGCTCTTGCTGATTAAGTGCCTTTCTATATCCATTTAGTAACACCACCTTCTTAAGCCATGTGGAGGCATGCTTGATGTAATGAAGTTGACGCAATGTCAATGTAGAGATTGCACTGCTTACATTAACTCCTACAGGCTTTCAGGAGCCAATTCACAATGCCCCAACTGACAATCCATATAAACACTCCTGATGAGGATATGCATTGCCGTCACAAGGAACCAAGTACGCACACATACAAGTAATTTAATAACTGAAGTGGCTCTATGTAAGTCAGTTAGGTCGATGTAATTTTGTACTGTTAACATGATCTAGGTTTAAGTAAAAGAAAATAAGAAAGAAGTGGCATCATACACTGGTAAGCAGCCAAGAGAGAAAAGGTAGATGAAGCCTGTGAATAGTAAAATGAAGGAGCTAAATTTACACACTTAATTTTTGTATCATTAAGGTGAAAGTCCCTTAAGCATCTGTTTTTCCATTGTCAATGAATTGAGGGGAAACCTATTTCTACTAAGGTGCCTGAGGGAAAAAAAGAAATCAGATTTGAAGTCATTTGTACTTTGTACCAGTTCCTACGGGTATGTTAAATATTGTGAACAGTTTCAAAAAGTCACTCATTTTTCCTAGGACTACTTAACTTCCAGCTAAAATAGTTTGCCTACAAAGGATGAAAGGGACATGTGGCTTTTTAAAAGCTATTGTTTTCCTCCTACTTTATAATCCAGATCTCTTTTGTTTCTCCCTATTACATTCTTTGTATAGATAATTACAAAAATAACTGCATATTGCTACTAAATAATACTGGCTAATCATATTCATCCTGGACAATTCAAAAACTCTTTAGTTGCCAGAAAATTTAAAGAGCAATTATATGATTAATTTCTAGTTACACCAGAACAATTGCCACATTCTACAAATGGCATATACCTCAGCTATACTGCTTCATGCAGGTTCAGTGTAATTGTGAAATGAACAAGAATCAGCTCTGTAAAATCTTGGCTAGGAGGAGTACATGCTTTTTCCTTGCCTCTGTCACTTAAACAAAACCTCTAACTCCATCTGGCCTGAACAGCAGAAAAACAGCACACAGTGCTTCTGTTATGCAGTCTTTAACAGTGAAAGATAGCATCAGATTCATACCTTAACAAAGCCCCAAAAATACATGAAATTCTTCAGCTTATCTGAATTTGCTTTACTTAGATGAAACAAAGATGGTAGAAATTTCCAGAAGGCCTTTCAGTCTTGCCACTGCAATTGTCAATCTTTAACCTACACTCTGTTTCTATTGGCTCAAGTATTCCACAGAGCAGCGTGATTGGGCTGATCTGTAAAACAACACTGCTGTCTCTACCTTGCCTCAGACATCTTACTGCAATGCAGACATTTATTTTTTGTGCACTATAAAAGAATTATATGAGTGATTAAAAATAGCAAGCTTTAACAGACTCACAATGCTACGTTTCATTACATGCACAAGAGCAGCTTATACAAATATTCTTCACTGTCAACAATGTGTCAGAAGGTGTAGATTTGAAACAGATCCTTCTTTAACAAAACCTATGGGAGCCATTTTAATGCAAGCTTTTTGATTGCAGATCACTTATTCCTGCTTCCTCATATTAAACAAATAAAATATTATGCAATGTTTAAGACACGAAGCCAAATTGCTAATATGTACGTATTGTTGTTAGGAAAACTATGCCCGTGTGCAATTTCTTGTTTTTAGCAACTGAAGAATAAAAACAGCATAAATTCATTTCTTAGCTGCATTATTACCTTTGTTTTTGCAGAAAAATATTAAGCACTATAAAAACATGAACCAACAGTACACTTCAGTGTTCATTTAGATGGTGATCTGAATTAGGCATTTTAACCATATAATAATATTTTTGGGTTATTCCATTTTCAAGTAAGATATTAATGTTGGCAAAGAAGTAACCAGAGTTAAATGGCTATGTTACAGTATGTTATCAAATCTATAGGACCCTTCTATAAAAGTTAGCATACAAGGTATAACCATTTCTAAATCCATATCAGATATGGATCCATTCTTACACTGTATAGGATGGACTACCATAAACAATGCAAAAATTAGATCAAAAGCATCAAAAAGGAGGTTTCTGATAACTGCACTGCTATGAGAAAATATCCAGTAAAAAGCAACTTAAGATACACATACAAGTGTTACAGCTTAACTATGTAACAAAGGCACAAGGTGTCTTACATAGTAAGAAGTCAAACAACATTTGATCTTGGATGATATTTCATGTAGTATCAAAAACACAGATTTAGGGAGAAATACCCCTTTACTCAGTCCTTCCAACAGCTAAAGTACTGCTGAGTACTAGCACTTTCATTACACCTTAAAAACCTGAGGAACAACCAAATGGAGCTCCACGCTCCAAACATGTTTAATTAAAGATCGAGGAACAAAGACCAAGTTAAAAAAATTCACTGGCCACAGGTAAACAGGAAGAAAGAGCTTTAAGTTTAGCAGCACATTATCAGAAAAACAGTACATTCAAAAGGGAACATAGTTTACTTGAACAAGTCATTTGAAATAGATAATGATTAAAGCTTCAAGGCCCCCTGTTAAAACCAAAAATTGTTAAACTATGAAAAATGTTCAGAGAGCAGCACACTGCTTACTTACCAACTGTTCAAGCAACCATCTCATTTTTCCACAGTTAAGAAGATACAACAGGCTGGTAGATTTGGGAATTGATCAAAAGGGAATTTTTTGAAACAATTACACAGCAATACATCTAAATCAAAATATAGGACTCCCCCCAAAAAGAGACAATAATCAAAAATTAACTATTTGTAATACTGTCAAGAACCACACATATTTTATATATCTCATGGACTCCACAACACAGAACTGAAGCTGCTACAGTGTAAAACAAAAAGACACAGATAAAAAGGTACATAAATTTATTTTAACTATGCAAGGGAAGAAAGCTAATACTTGAAAAATATATTTTCTTTAAAGAATTAGGCATTTAAACAGATGTGTTGTTGCATTTTATTGACCAGCAAACTAATTCTAAAACCTGCAGCTTGAGAAACTTCTTTTAAAGGAACAAAATGTTAACCATATATTGCCCTTCAGAAAGAGAAACACATTGTATTAACTACTCCTGTAAGAAAAAAATTAATATTCATTTCAAGTAAAGATAAGCTGCATAAAAAACATGATGCAACAGCACCCCACCACGTAGGCCCAATATCTACAATCTGCCATTAGCACTTTTTGCTGATGTCCAGGTTTTTTAAAATCCCATCTTTTCTCAGAGATAACTCAGCTTAGCTATTCCTTTCACCGTTTAGAAAGGTAAACTTGCCTGTTCTGCTGTCTGCCATTATCTCTGCTTGACTCCCTGTAGGGCAGTTAAATGCATCTGCTCCCTAGCTTCCATTTTCTCTTCAGCAGGCATGTGACACAACAGACAATAGTGCTGGCAAACTGCTCAGAGACAGAAAGCTTCATTGGAATATCAGGATCTTGATAAACTCTAAAAACACCATCATCCTGTGAAGAAGTAGGTATGCCAAGGTTTTGCCACTCTGCAAAATAAAGCTATGGCTAATGGCTACTAACCATGTGACCCAAGAAAGCAAATTTACACAGTTTCAACTTAATAAAGTGCTGTGGTGTCTGTTTTGCACAACAAATCACAGAGAATCACACTGTTAACCCACAACTCATAGGTCTTAGAGAAAAAAAATTTAAAAAGTAAAGCTTACCTCTGTGGATGCATTGTTAACACAGTGTTATGTCAATACTTATAAAACATGGAGGACAGGCTCTCAGTACTCAGACAGAAAGGGCTTGGCACTTCAGCTTGATGATCTGTCTTCCTAATAAAAGCTAATCCTGGATTGGCTACTTTAGTAAATCTGAATGTAAAGCTTCAGGGGATTGGCTGAAACACTTCCTGAGCGATTATCTTTGTGCAGCTCTGGCAAGCAGGAGCCATCCTGTGCATAGAGAAGACAGGCTAAGCTAGGCCTGTTTCTGAAAAGAAACTTAAAAAGAGGCCCTATATGTGAATTCTGGTACAAAGTAATCAGATTTTCAAACGGTGGAAAGTGATCACTAACTGTGTGCTTAAATAAAACATGCACCACAAACTATCTTTACTGACTGCATTCAGATATTTTAAATCTGCAGAAGGGAGGGTTCATCCAAGTCACAAAAACTATTTTTTCTAAAAGAAAAACTAAATTTACTTTGTTACCATTCAGGCCATAATTAGAAAATGCAGGAAAGCACGTAAAAACAGATAAATGGGAGGGAATAAAATTAAATACTTAAGGATCAGGAAGAATCATATTTTAGATTTTAAAAACCCAAATGCCCACCCCTGATTAGATACACACAACATAATTCCATTAAAAACTTAATGCAAAACGTCTAGTTCAGAACTTAAATGATTTCTACAAAAACTACTGCATAATGTATTTTAGATTATAGAGTAAGTAGCTCATTATACCCATATTTGCACGCAATACACACATCTACCTTCCTCCTAATTTAAAAACAAAATGCTGCAATGAATAATACAAATTGTCAATATCGCACCAGATGCTGTGTTTTTCAGTTCCCCTCCCCCACCACTTAGGCCTTCTAAACCTGTCAGTTAAACAAAAATCTGACTTCCGTATTAGTCGGCTGCAGCTGCAGCTTCCTGTCTATTAACCCTGTCAGATTCAGTACTTTTAAAGATGTAGGCCCTAAGAAAATATAGGTTTCAGCATGTGGAAAAATATCAGAGTCTGCTTTCAGATGGAAGCACAACTCTCTAGATTTTGCAGCATTTTGCTATAGTTTTTACCCTAAAGGCTTTGTAGAATGAAGGAATCTGAAAAAATAGAATGTGATTGGAGCTAGAATGCTATCCATTTAAACAACCAGTTACATTAAAGACAATGCTCAAGCACTTTATCAAAAGAAAATGAACATTCATCCTCCAAATATCCCATGATTCAATTCCCTTTCTTACTGCAGTATGGAGAGCAGGGTCAGATTTCTCACTATACCAAAAGAGGGAAAGGCTCAAACAAATGGAAATGTTAAGGGTCAAACTTTCACAAAAGCCTCTGCCTAGTCTTTACCCTCATACTCAAATTCTTGCATCTGAAAAACTGGTAGCAAGGCAAAAAAAAAATCTATATGCACCCATAAACTAGAGTGCTCACAGACATTATAGATGAAGAGAGACTGATTATGAAAATAAAACCTTTTATTTAAAAAATGTTTTTTGCATAAACAAAAAGGGAGAGGGTAAGTGTCAGGTTTAAGATTTAAATATTAAATAGAAAATAAGCTAAAGAAAGCAAAGCTAAACATTCTTACCATACTGAATTTGGATTTGATGCAGAACCCAGGATTGCACAACAGCAGGCTATAAAAAGCCTCTCTCTGAAATCAGGAGGAAGGCTAATTGCCAGTGAAGCCTGCACAAGATTCTCTACTTTGCCTTTAAGAGTTATTGATCTCTAAAACAATCACCACAAATAAAGCTAATAACCCCCACACACATGCGATTCAAAAGCACAGAATCAGTTTACCACACAAGTATAAATGCCTTTGCATTGTGAATCTGCTGAGTCACATATGCACTCCAATACAAAAAAATAATCCTAGGCTGTAGTATCACATGCTGAATTAAAGTTGTTTCTGAGATAACATTCATCTTCTATGGGGAAATCCCAAGCTACCATGTCACCAAACGGTGTACATTTTTCTGTGCTCTTGCACTTTAGGCTGTACAAGCAGATTAAAAGCCCCAAGTGCAATGCTCATTTATTTCCTAACCAATTCTAGAGTCTCTGCTGGAAGCATTTTCCCTATTTAGCCCTAGCAATATTTTTTAGGGCAGAGATCAGGAAGGCTTACGGATTACTTTGTCAGCTATATTCTGTTTTAGAAATGCAACAGAAACAGAATGCCTCTATTAAGGGAAACATACAGCCCACTACAGCAGCAACAAAACACTAGAAATGCATGACATTCAAGTGAGAATTTTCAGCAATTTTCTTTTAATAGTTCAAACCCTTAAAAGCAGGTTTCTTTCTCATTGTGTGCCTAAAACCCTATGAAGTAAAGGATTACTTCCTCTGATGCATAACTATCTAGACTTTGATTCTTCCATGCAATGGTATAAGAGAAGGGGAATTATCAACTACTATCAACTAAAATTTATTCTTATTAATAGACAACTGCAGAGACCTGAGATTATTCACATTGCAAACAAAAACCTTAACTCCCTATGAATGCAGTGAATGAATAAAACTTAACATAATATTTGTAAGTACTCTCTGCGAAGCAAGACCTGGGTGTGGGAAAGCAATGGCTGATGGCTATTGGGCACATTGCCAAGATGACAAACTTGTTCTTAGGGAAAAGATAGCTAGGCCGCACAGGAGACAGTAATTTATTAGCTAATGCACAAAGTGGCAACAATCCTAGAAAAGGCCACAAGTTCTACCCTTTTTATTCAAAGAAATGTTGGCCTGATCTAGAAAAGTGAGTGGTCCAGTGGTCACAAGCTAGCAAACTATGAACAAAATCTAAAGAGGGTATACGGCTCCGAACTGGCCTTTTTCTGTTATTTTAAAAATACAAAATCAGGAAGGAGAATGCTTTAAATATCTTCTCTATTTTTTTGCCCATTAAATATGTTTTACTACAGTAGATGAAATTTCAATTAAGGAATTATAGGAACCACTAATACAATCAGTAAATAATACCTGTTACCTGAAATAAAAGGCAATTCAATGCATGTCTGACTGCTGCTTGACTAATTCTCTTTCATGAGGGTGGTAATTTTTTTGGGTGTAGAAGAGCAAAGAAAACAAAGAAGAGAAAGCAAAGAGCTTTGTTAAGGTAAGAGAGAGCTGGCACAATAGGACACACCCATATTACACAGGAGGGGCACAGAAACCTCAGCACAACTTTGTGT